TAAAATATATCTACTTTGTATATATCCATTTATATATCATATAATGGAATATTATTGGGTCATAAAAAGAATGGAGCATGGATCCATGCTATAACATGAATGGACCTTAGGAACACCATGCTAAGTGAAAGAAGACAGAAACAAAAGCCATTTGTTATATGATTCCATTTATATGAAACATCCATAATAGGAAACCCATAGAGACAGAAAGTAGATCAGTGGTTGCCAGGGGCTGGGGCGTTGGGGGAACAGGGAGTGACTGCTAATGGGTACAGGTTTCTTTTGAGGATAATGAAAATGTTCTGCAATTGGTGATGGTTGCTCAACTCTGCGAATATACTAAAAACCACTGAATTTGTCACTTTAAAAGGGTGAAGTTTATGGTATGTGAGTTATGTGTCAATAAAGCTGTTATGAAAGAAATAACCAGAAAAAGGGGGCTATAGCAACAATTAAGGCAAGAAATGATAAGGGCTTAAAATAAGGCAGTGGTGACAGAAAGGGACTGGAGGATGTAGGTGGTAAGCTGAAGAGCCTCAGTGACTGACTTTTACTCACAGGGCTGAAACCCCAAGGAGACTGGTGGGCCCTTTGGTCCACCTGTTTGCACCTGAGCGGTGGGCAGCTTCACTAAGAATGAAAGAATTCTGTACACATAGTTTTTGTTAAAGGGTTTTCATCCAATATTACTTTTTTAGTCATCTGCAGACAGCAGGGATGGGCTAAAGCAGTGTACAAAGTTGTGGCCTTGCCTATATTTTGTCATAACGCAAACATTTTTTGTGCTGCGTAGAGTGGGGTGGCCTGCCTGTCACTGCGCACCAGGGCAAGGCGCCCTGCCGGGGCAGGTAGAAGACATGCTGAGGTCGCAGCCTTACTGACCAGCACTCCATTTAAAGGTTGTCCTCATCTTCTAGGAAGAAAGACGCAAATGACCTGCCACGTGTTACCCAGTGGGCAACAGAGCACGTGGATTACAAGTCTGGGGAGGTGAACACTCATTTTTTGATTCTTATTTTTTTGTAAAGAAGTCCACTTTTCTTCTTCTTTGTGTCTGCCTACAACAGCACATCACAGTCTCGTTTTTGCTATTGTGTGGAAAAGGCAGGCTCCTTGGAGTTTGGTTCCCATTTTAGTCTGCTCCTTGACCCAGGTGGGAAAACCCTTTACTCTTCCACATCCTTGGGTGCCAGGGTCTGCTGTTCCCTTTGGGGCTGAGGCTGGTGCAGTCAGTGTTAGTACTGTCCTCTCACCTTCCCTCTGCTCTTCCAGCGGGGGCTCATGGACAACAGGAATGTCAGGAACCCTCAGGAATTCATGACAGAGGGAGGCTCACAGAAGGAGTTTCCAGTGAGGCAGCAATGGTGGTCTGACATCTCTTAGTGCACTCTCCTTACCCCAGCCTTGAGTTTTCTGTTTAAAGCCACAGCCTTCTGTGTGTTGCTGAGACTCTTACCAGGCATTTAAAAAACTGCTGCCAGAGGAGACTGTTTCTGACAGACAGCTGAATGTCTATCATATTCAGAGTTCTCTGTTTTCTTATTATAGATTTTTGAGGTAGCTTGGAGAGGAGCAGGGTGCTTAAAACTCCAGGCACCTTGGAGAAGCTGTAGGATGTAGCACACACTCATTGGCCAGGTTCGAACACCGATATGCTGTAGACCTACTCCCTGCTTGCTGTCTCACAAGAGCCTTGCAATCTCACTGTGTGATGGGGTAACCGTGCTTTGTAGGATTGTTATAAGGATTAAATGTGATAATGTACGTAGAGCACTTTGGGGCATGGCATAGCTATTACTTATTACTGGACAAGTCACTTAAGATTTCTGAGCTTGTTTTCTCTTCTTAAAGAGTGAAGGCGAAGCCCTATGGCTTTTAGGGCAGTTGAGAGGATAAAATGAGATAACGTGTGAAATTATGTTATATAAATATATTATTAAGGTTTAATTAGAGAGGACATTCACAAGGCTCTTGGTAACCCATTCCAGAGTTTTAACACTATTTTTTTTATTTGCAATTATCTTTGTTACTTTATTTATTTATTTTTTATTTCAGCATATTACGGGGGTACAAATGTTTAGGTTACATATATATTGCCTTTGCCCCACCCGAGTCAGAGCTTCAAGAGTGTCCATCCCCCAAACGGTGTGCACTACACCCCTTAGTGTGAGTGTACCCACCCCTCCTCTCCCTCCCCCGTCTGCCTGACACCCGATGAATGTTACTACTGTATGTACACATAATTGTTGATCAGTTAATTCTAATTTGATGGTGAGTACATGTGGTGCTTGTTTTTCCATTCTTGGGATACTTCACTTAGAAGAATGGACTCCAGCTCTATCCAGGATAATACAAGAGGTGCTAGATCACCATTGTTTTTTGTGGCTGAGTAGAACTCCATGGTATACATTTATCACATTTTATTAATCCACTCATGTATTGATGGCAACTTACTTTATCTTGAACTCTTTCTAATTTCTCCATTATTTATGGTACCCAAAATGGGAAATGATCTTCACAAAAGAGAATTTGAAATATAGGGGAAAGATTATTCTCTGTCCCTCACTCCCCATTAAAAAGAGAGATGTGTGTGTATCTTTATTATAAATAATGTTATTACTTTATAAGAATTTTGGAAAAGAGAGAAGAAAAATTTTCCACAATTCCATCAGTATAGTTAATAGGTTTTTTTGACTGCAAATCTAGTCATTTTTTTATATACTCATCTTATATATCTTTAGATATATATCTTATATATTTTTACATATATATTACCCACAATCATATACAAATATGAATCTTGCTTTTTTCCCTCTTGTGTTTTCTGTATTGCTGCATGTCTTTAGTACCTATCTCATAGAATTGTAAAGATTTTTTTTCTTTTTTTTTGAGCATGGTAAAAGTGTGAAAGAATTGTGAAGATTTAATGCTTTAAGTGCTTAGCACAGTGTCTGGCATTTTGCTAGTGTCAATACATGAGAGGTAGTTATTATTACAGTCATCCCTTGGTATTTGCAGTGTATTGGTTCCAGGACCCCCATGGATACCAAAATCCGTGGATGCCCAAGTCCTTAAAATGGTGTAGTATTTGCATATAACTTACGCACATCCTCTCATATACTTTAAATCATCTCTAGATTACTTAAATCTAATACAATGTAAAGACTATGTAAATAGTTGTTATACTGCATTTAAAAAAAATTATATTATTTTTATTTTTTCCCCCCAAAGTTTTTCAATCCACGTTTGGTTGAATCCATGGATACAGAACCCATGGATATGGAAGGCTGACTGTATATGACTTTTTTCCACAGTTTTTATTATTGCTCATGGATGCCCAGGAGTGGATTTGCTGGGTCAGGTGTGAATATTCCTTTGGCTCTTAATACATGGCACTTGTCACATTGCTTTCTAAAAGGGTTATTTCAGTTTTAAAAGGCCTTGGTGGTGCTCAGGAGTTTCACTGCTCCTCGTCAGCATTTGGAGTTCCCCTTTCCCCCTGACGTTTTTTTAGGTTTGGGAAGCTAATTCAGTAGGTTAAAGAAGTTATCTCATTATTCTGATTTGCATTATTTGATAACTACCAATGCTGAGTTTTTTTGTTGTATTTGTTGTATGTTTACTAGCAGCATTTCCTCTTTGTTGGTCTAAGACCTATTCTATTTAACTGTTGGAATCACTTAACATTTCTTATTGAGTTACACAGTTTCTTTAATAAAGGTATTAATCCTTTGTCATATAGACCACAAATATTTTTCCCGACTAGTCTCTTATATTGGCTGTGAGTTTAAAGAAATACCATACACACACACACATACACACACACACACACACACACACACACACACACAGCACAATGTGACTTGCCTCCGGTTTGCAGCTATCCATGTCAGGTTTGATGGCTGTACGTTGACACTCCCCATGGTTATATAGGCTCGAATATAGTGGACACACATGTCTTCTATGGTAAAATGTAATGTGTTCACTACCCAGAGTTAAGTCTGAAATACACAGACTCTTCATAGACCCAGAGAACGTTTCCCTTGATTTAGGAAAATGGGATAGGCAAGAAAGGAGTCAATAAAACTATTGATTTTTATCACAGGTTGTCATTTCAGCTTTTCACAATTGTCATCTTCTAGACTTTCTCCATCCTCTCCTCTAGGACTTGTGTCTCTGAAGATATCATTGTGAATATGTATTTGACAAGGGTATGGTCCATTCAAAGGCCTCGGCCAAGTTCTCTGAAGGTCTCCCTCTCTCACCTATGTTGACCCACCCTCTTCAGACTTTTTTCGTGCAAAGAGACACTAGGTCTTGGTGAGATTGGGGAATTAAGGGTGTGAGGCTCTTCACATGGGTGACCAGGCTGGTAAATCTACCTTCTGCTACTAATCTGTTAAACTTAAACTTCTTTCCCCCTAGAGGATAAGCAATCCCATCTGGTGATCCACATCTTCATCCTGGGAGCCTGTGACAGCCTTAGCATAGCAAAGGAGGTGGATGGGACAGGCTAGAGAGCAGCCTCAGGTGTGACTGAAGAGGGAGGGAGGCCACCCTGGCTGGATTTTAGGAAAGAAGTCATACCTTGTTCTTCCTGGAGGAAGCGTGTTGTCTCTTAGGCAATGAGTTTGGAGCTGCCATTTGGCCCTGGCACAGTCCCGAAAAGATGGGTCTCAGGAGTGATACAGTGAGAAGCTAACTTTGGAGCTTTCAGTTGCACAAGTGTAATAAGAAGAACAGGTAAGCTAAAGGAAGATGTTTAGAGTGTTTCTGGGGTGGTCACAAGTCCCTTTCAACTCTGACTTTCAACTGTCCGTTATTCTTGGTTTCCTTTTCAGCACTACACATTCCCTTGCTAAAGAGTCCTATCCCTTCTGATCATCGCAATCTGCATTCAAGCCTATAAGAGAACCCAGACAGCTGACGTGTGAGAGGTAGAACGGGTTTCGCGTCACTGTGGCGAAGGCAACGGCACACAAAGACATTTGGCTTCTGGGTCTAGATCTATAAATATATTTATTATAATATAACAAGAACTTAACAATAAACATATACTATGTACAATACCATTACAGAGAACCCTGTTTTATATCATTCACAGAAATAGCCAGTTTTGCTCCAGTGTGATAGATGAGGAGAGAAACGGAATTTCAATGTCATCTGTGTGGAGTCTCGAGCACTAGCACCTCCTTTGGAGGCAGACGCACACCAATGCTAACATCCGCCCTGCCCCGGGCAGTTAGAAATTTGTGCTCCAGTCCTTGGGTTCACACTTGCACCCTGTTTGACATAAATACTTTAAATGACATACAATGTATGTAGTTTTGTGCTTATTACTTTTTAAAATAATAAATAATATTAAAAACTGCATAACGAAGCTCGGTATCCTGTCCAAGTGGGAGCCACACTTTGTAGTGCTAGAAGTTGATGCCCGACATTAGGATTGGAATTTCGTGTCCTCAAATACTGAAAGATGGAAAGCGCGTCCTGTCTTTTTTCTCCTTATAAATGGTTGTTACCACGAAACGACGGCGAGTTGATTTCCCAGATATAAAAGTGGTAAATGTGTATTTGGTACCAACTTCCACTCAACAGCGCAGTGGCGGCGGCGCTCTTCCCGCCTGGAATGGAAACTGATGACCGTGTGAGGTTTGAGGGGCTAAGGACTAGCAGGAAGGCCGTTCTCTTTTGAGCCATGGTGTGACCTCCCTCCTGGCTTCCCTTTCCGCAGGTTCGTGTGTGACAAGAAGAGAGATTCTGCTCGCGCCCCCCAGGCCTGGGCTGCCACGGCTCGGCTAAGAAGGCTGTCCCCATCCTGAGAGCTCTCGTGGCAGGAGCCTTAATATATAGCTATAAATATCAAAAATAGTCTCCTGTGCTTTGTAGACATTTATTCTCCCCCCTCCTCCGTCCCTTCCTGCCTGTTCTGGGTCCTCTGCGTTGCCTCGCGGAGGGAGCCCGATGGGTGGCGCGAGCCAGAACTGGTTTCTTTCCTTCTAGAACAGACTCTTCTTCCTTGGGTAATGCCTCCACGAGGCACGGCTTTCATGGGGCTGTCTGGGAGTTACTTCTTCTAAAAATAAAACGGGGGCATTGCCCACCCCAGGAGAGATCCTCTATTCTGCACATAGAAAAATGAGAGCAAAGGCCCCCCTCTGGCACTACCTACAAAGAGCTTTGGGAATTCCCACAACATTATCCCTCTTGTGGCCTCCTCCTTCTCTCAGTACTTAAAAATAGCCTTTTGTTTATCAAGAAAATGCCTCAGAAATCTAAATAATTCATATTGGGTAAGAGAAAGCTAGCACAATCACCTTGTCCTCCAGCAAAAACATGGCAGAAGCGCCCGTGACGGCGGGCAGGCAGCTCTCCCCAGCCGGCCCCGCACGGGCGCCGGACTCCTGACGCACAGTCTGTCCCTCGTTTTCTCTTGGCCACTGAAAGTGTAGATTGGTTAAAAAACAAAAGTAGGAATCAAAGTGATAAGGACACTTTGATCTTATTCCAAGAGAGCCTGATGCCTAATATTGTCATAGGATAACTGATCTATGGTTGTTTAGGGATCAAGCTTGCTCTGCAGGAAAGAAAAAAACAGCTTCTCTCTCCCAGCTGAAAAATATGTGAAACTCTATTGCACCGGGCAGAGCGGGCGCCCCGGCTCGGAGCGGGCGCCTCCGCGGCAGCCGGCCACCCCGGCGTGGCGCGTGCGCGGTTCCGCTGCTCGGGGCGCCGTGCCCCGTTTCACCCCAAAGGCAAGGATGATTTTCTACATTCACTGTAGAGAATATTCAAAATGTTTAGCATCGTGAGTTCCTGGATCGTGTTTCGCTGGCCTCTCGTTGGCGTCGCTGAAAAATCATCGTTGTGTGTAGCGTTTGCCTCAGCAGACTAGCCCGCAGTCCCGCCCGGGCGCGCGGCCGACGTCAGCCGCTCTGAATGTATTTCTTTATCACCACGCAGCCGTGTCTGAACACCGGGCAGGGCATGTGCGGCAGCAGGGTCCACGTGTTGGTTGTGGGCTCGTAGGCCTCCATGTTGCCCAGGGCAGGCCCCTCGCTGCTGACGATGCCGCCGGTGGCGTAGATCTTGCCGTCGAGCACCACGGCGCTGTGGGAGGGGAAAGCGGGAAGAGAATGAGGCATTTCCCTCCCAACCTGGACCCCGAGACGGTCTCGACCCCGCGTCCTGGTGCACGCTGCCCGTACCCTCTCGCCCGAGTCGTGTGGGATCTTGCCGCTCTCCTTTGTCCTCTGACCCGAGCTGGCCTAAGGGAAACACCTTTCCCGCAGGGCCATCGGGTGCCATGCTGTCCCACCCCGCAAGCTGCGGGAAACGCTCCCTTGTACCTGGCTGCCTGCAATGGCCGGCAGAGGAGCCGCCCCTGGGCGCGGGCGCAGGTCACTAGGCTCCACGGGGCCCCTTTCTTGTGTTGCGCACACAGAGCCTGCCTACCGCGCAAATCACATTGGGGACATGACTCATAGGAATGCCAGGACAGAGAACAATAAGGAGCGAAATTGTCCCTGAACGTCAGCCACGCTGCTGGGAGTTCTGCCCTGCCAGGGCGCTGGCGGTGCTGTGCCCCAGGGGCCCGTGCTTCCCTCCTGTGCCACCTGGAGCTGCCACCCCTCCAGGACGGCGGGGGGCGGCCCTTCCCTGTGTGGCACTGCCTAGGTGGGTCCTGCTGTCTGGGGCAGCTCTCCCCGTCCCGAGAGCTACCGCTTCACACGGATGTCTGGATCCATGTGGCAGCCCTGACTTCTCCTTTATTTCAGCTAAAGGCCATTTCCTCTTGGCTATTCCCTGAAATTGAACACACAGCTTTTCAAAGCCTTCACCTGTTTCTGAAATGTCTCTAATAGAATTCGTCAGTCTAGACTTCTTACCAGACACCGAAGCTTCCAGCTTTCTCTCTCTCATAGTTCTACACTGTCTAGGGGCCCGTATTTCTCCTTTTGTGGTGTACCTTTTCCCTGCTTCCCTTGTAAGACCCAGCTGGCATGAAGTCTTTCCCATCCACTTCGAGTCTCAGATGAGGTGTGGGCCTCCTCCCTGCACGTGGGGCTCACTACTCCAGTTGTCTATCACTGGACAGGGCAGCCAGACTGCGCTCTGCACACCCCATTCGAGTGTGTGATGTGGAGGTACAGCTCGAGGATTGCAGAATCTTGATGCTAACAGCAGCTTAGCAGTTGTCCGGCCCAATCACCTGTTTCACAGAACTTCCCCAGAGAAGGGAAGTTATGTGTCTAAGGTCACATGATATAACCTATTTAGTAGCAGGTTGTATCTTTTTCTTAAGAGACAGGATCTTGCTCTGTCACCCAGGAGTGCAGAGGCACAATTTATAGCTCACAGCAACCTCAAACTTCTTGGTTCAAGTGATCCTCCTGCTTCAGCCTCCCGAGTAGCTGAGATCACAGGTGTGTGCCACCATGCCTGGCTAATATTTCTATTTTTTGTAGATGGGGTCTCATTCTTGCTTAGGCTGTCTCAAACTCCTGACCTCAAGCGATTATACTGCCTCAGCTTCTCCAGTAGCTAGGACTATAGGCATGGTGGCATATACCTATAGGCTAATTTTTTTATTTTTTATTTTTGTAGAGACTGAGTCTTGCTTTGTTGCCCAGGCTGGTCTTGAACTCTTGGCCTCAAGTAATCCTCCTGCCTTGGCCTCCCAATGTGCTGGGATTATAGGTGTCAGCCACCACACCTGGCCAGATTATATTTTTTCTAGCTATGCCACATAAACAGTGGGCACTCAGTAAGTGCTTCATGCTATTTGCACATTGCAGATTCAGTGGTTACCTCTGCAGAGGCACGAGATGTCTTCAGGGAAGAACTATCATGGGTTTCTGGGGCTGCTTCTTATTCCTTGTCCCTCTTAGTGTGGGAAAGGACAGGGCTGGAAGAGCAAGGACTAGTATCTTATTGCCACGGGGCCGGGCAGCCTGGGGACCTAGCTGCGCTGTGCCCTCTGCCTTCTCTTCCTGCAGAGGCAGGTCTGTGTGTGCTTTGCCCAGGCAGGTGCTGCGACTCCAGCGCAGCCGATCTTGGGCCCCTTGCTGGGGCCAGCTCCCAAGGGCCATCAGGGTCATGGGTGCAATCAGAGCATTCCTCCGAGAAGCACTGGTCCCTGCAGGGCATTGCACAGCTATGGCCTAGCACTGCCTTCCGTCTGTGATGGGCAGGTGGTCCCGGGGGAGGTTGGCCTTGTGCCTTTCTGCTTCAGGTGGGGTCAGCTGGAGCCCCAGGGTTGGGCAACTGGGCTGGATGGAGGCTGCTCTGGGCTGCCCGGGGTTCACACTCTGCTCTGGCTACTCCACCCCATGGCTGAGGGGGATGCCACTGCTCTGGGCCTGGGAATTACTTTGGGCATCAAACCCTGCTAAATCCTTGCTATCTTATCCCTCTGTGCCCCTCCGCCACGCCCTCCTTCTTTTTTCCGTCCCTGGCAGAGTTGCCGCAGCCCCTCTCACCTGCAGAACTGGCGAGAGTGGTTCATGTTTGGGCCTGCCTTTATGTTTCCTTTGTCCGGGTCGTAGATGGTGGTAGCTCTGGCGTAAGCCCCACCCAGGATGAAAACGAAGCCATTGAGGGTGACAGCCGGGGCGTATTTGTTGTCTGGGAGGAGAGCAGAGTGGCAGATCAGGGGGCCTGCTGGGGCCTTCCCTCCCCCTTTCCCCCCCAGCAGACACTCCGGGGAGGGAGCTGGAATGACCTCCAGGCAGGACTGGTTGGCCTGAGGACAGGCGGGCCAGGGATACCTGGAGCCTTGACTCACTTGCCCTTCGAAGGGCACCTGGCTGAGGGCTCACCCACTCCCTCCACCCCCAGTCTGAAGTCTGCAGAGCTGCTGGGCTTTGCCTGACTTCTGGGCGTGGGGCAGTGGGTAAGTCAGTGAGGTTGGGGTGCAGCCCTGGCCCTGGCCGCAGGACACAGCTGGTTCTCACCGATCATCGGGGACTCAATGAAGCTCCATGTGTTGGTCTGTGGAACATAAGACTGGAGGACGCCCGCAGCTCGGCCTGCCTCGTTCACACCCCCGAACACGTAGATCTTGCCGCCGCACACCGTGGCGGCCGCAGAGTGCACTGCCTTGGGCAGAGGGGCCACCGCCTCCCATTGGTTGGTGATGGTGTCGTACCTGTGCACAGAGGAGAAAACGAGCCTGGGGTCAAAGATGGGACTTGTGCAGGGTAGAGACCACCACCAAGGGCAGTGCACGTTCGGGGGCACGGCCATCTGCTCCCTGCCCTTGGAGTCCCTGGTGTAGCCTGGGGTCACATAGCTGGGGCACTGGGGTGAGTCACTCGAGGCCTCTGAGGGTCTGGTCCAAACCAGCCCTCTTGGCCTTACTCTTGAACCTCTTTGGGGCTCCTTCTGCCCATCACATCCTCTGTGCACATTCCTGTCCCTGTACCTTCGTCACATGGTGCTCCCCTCCTCTGGGCCCCACCTCCGGCCCTCTCTCTCCAGCTCAGTCCTGAACTGAGCAACTTCCATATACCCAGGCTCTGGGCTGGAAACTGGGGAAACAGGGACATTAAACACCATTCCTGCCCTGGAGGAACTCATGGTCCGGAGGGGAAGACAGCCAAATAAAATACACTGAGGATGATCAGAGTGCAGGGTGACAGTGGTAGGACAGTGAGAAACCCAAGGAGGCTTCCTGGTGGAGTTGGTACCTGGGCTTCACCTTAAAGGCTGGATAAGCCACTAGCGTGGCAAGTGGGGAGCAGGAGGGGGTGGGCACAGGAAAGCACTGTAGGTGCGCAGAGGTGTGGGCACGGGTGGTATTTGAGAGAATTTGGAGTACAGACAGTCCCTGTTTGACTTACTAATTTTGCGACTTCACAATGGCGCAAAACCATTGTAATCTTGACGTAATGCACAGTATTCCATAAGTTATGTGACATAATCAACACTGTGTTACAAAATAGGCTTCGTGTTAGATGATTTTTCCTAACTGCAGGCTAACGTAAGCATTTTGAGTGTGTTTAAGGTAGGCTAGCTTAAGCTATGATGTTCAGCAGGTTAGATGCAGTAAATGCATTTTCAACTTGCGATGTTTGCAACTTATGATTGGTTTAGTGGGATATAGCCCCATGGGAAGTTGAGGAGCGTCTGTAGTTTGGAATCTGTAGTGGGTGGCTTAGAAGGGAGACCAGTTAGTTAGTTAGTTAGGCTAGTCTATTATGGGAAGCTTGGCAAAGTGACGGTAGCTTGGACTAAGGAATGACAGGAGTGTAAGGACATGGGGACAGAAGCAAGGTGAATGGATATGGCCACTCAGTAGCGGGATGATGGTCTCTGGCTTGGGAGACTGGACGGAGGGGACGATACAGGTGGGACAGAGGGGAGGATGTGGGGGTGGTTTCAGTTTCATTGAGAGGCATTTAAAGCACTTGTGGGCAGCAGTGACGATGTGCAGTGGCAGCTGGAGATGCAGGTCTGGATTAAATATTCAGCTTTGGGGGCGTTTGGCCAAGGTAGGAACTGAGGCTGAGGAGTGCGCCGCGGCCGTGTGCATTGAATGCGGGCTGAGCACAAACCCTCAGAGGGTCGCAGTGGCCATGCTGCAGAAGGCAAGGGGCTTCAGGATGGAGGATGGGAGGAAGGCCAGGAGTCTCAGACAGGTCACTGGTGCTCTTGTGGCCAAGGATGCTGTGCATGGAATGGGACGTGCAGAAGCCACATGTGTCTGGAGGAGTATAAGGGGCTCTGTGGTGGAGACATGGGAGTGGACTTCTCTCTGGGAGGAATCTGGGCTGTGAGAGGCAGAGCAGGTGGGACCTGGACAGGAATGTGGATCTCAGAGGGGTTGGCAGGGGAATGCTGACGAATGTTTCACTAGCAGCTCTCCAGGGAAAAAATCCTGGTTCGGCATTCGGTTTCTATGGTGTAGATCCTCCCACCTGGCTGAGGTCAAGCCACCGATGGACTGCCGAACGTGGAGTCCGTTATCTGGAATCTCCTCCATACACAGGTACAAGAGGCATATCTAACCTCAAGAGCAGAGATCGTAGTAAAATGTAATAATCAGGAAGTGATGAGCTTTGAGTATGGATTACCTTTGTTTTTAATATATTTAACTGTAAGTGTATGTAATTTAATTTTTAATAATAGCTGTGGTTAACAACTGACTTGCAGATTTGCTGACATTTTAACATTCAGCTCTCATGAGCCAGCGTGAACTGGCGCTAGCACACCATGGGTTTCGGTGATCTGGGGGGTTGGGGAGGATGTAATTGTGTTTGCCTGCTGGTAGGAAGGAGCCCGACGGGGTGAGGAAAGATGAAATACATGTGAAAGAGGAGGGAGAGCTGACGATGCAGGTAGAGGCAAATTGACTCCAAAATGGGGAGGGGAATCAGGGTCCACGTGGGCAGGAGGTAGGAAGGCAAGGGTGGCGCGAGCGTGGGTGCACGTGCAGGAGTGACAGTGAGATGTGAGCGGGGTCTTGACTGATGGCTCTGTTTTCTCTGTGCAGCGAGAGTCAGAGCTGGCGGAAGTACTGGGGGAGTCTGTAGGGTCAGAGCTTCCAGGAGAGAGGTAAAGATGAGAAATGCCTGCTCTTGAGAGTGGGAGAAACTGCCAAAAAGGAAACTTCAAAAGACTGCCCTGCAGCACTAAGGACCCAGTGGAGGATGGAGGCCACCGATGGTGCGGAGGGGCCGGAGCACGGTGAGGTGGAATCGTCTCTGTTGGCATTCAGCCCCCAGGCTGGGCCCAGAGCAGGCTTGGGCAGATCTGCTGCCTGCGGGTGCCGGGCAGAGCAGCAAAGCGAGAGTGATGGATCACAAACTCCAGGCAAGATGGGGAAAGGGACCACAGGAAGCAGCTTCGGGAGGAAAGAAGACTTGGGATAGGGTGGCCTGGCCGAGGGGCTTGACCTTGGGCTCTTTCTTCATGGGGCAGCTTGAATCTCAGTGTTTCTGCCAAGTGTTCCTGGGGGCTGCTCTCTCCTAACTCCAGCGGCCCCAGCACTCACTCTGGACCTCCCAGCAGGTGACACTGCTACCGCTCCCCATGTGGTTCCATGTGTGCCTGGGTGTGCAGGGCCTTGGTGTGGGCACACCTTTCCCGGGAAGCACACTGGGCCCACTTTCTTCCAGCTCAGACCCCAGGAAGCTGACTCCCTTCGCCCTGCCTCTGGCCGGGCGAGGGCTGTGTGATGTCCAGTTCCATGCTTGGGTTTGAGAAGAGGCCAGAGTATCTTAAAGGGCAGCAGCAGGGCTGATTCAATTAAGCCCCAGACGAATGACATGTGGCTTATATGCAATGGAGTAAGTGTCTTTTTGGACAGTGTCAGAAGTTCAGATATCTGTTTTTTAAGCCAATATGGCAGAGATCCAAAGAGATCCTGCAGAAGAAGCTGGGAGACAGTGGAAGATTATGTGGCTGCTAGTCCTCAGTCTTTCAGTATGATGGCACATCGCACCAAACGCGTATTTCCTGAGAGCTTGTTATTCCAGGTGGCTGATTGCCAAAGCCAGAGCCCTCCCGTCAGCTCAATCTGTCAGCTTCCTGCTTGAGAAGGATATGCTAATGACATGCAAATGACCCCGCGGAGTGAGGCGCTCTGCTATCATTTATCCAGTAACCACAGCTACTGCAATATATTGCTCTAAAATATTAGACCCAGTTATTTATATAATGATATAATACAGGTTTGTCTATTGCACTGTTGTTTTAATCTATAATTATATAATCTTGCTCTATTCCTGTAATTCTGTAATGTAATATAATTATAATGCACCATATAGCTCATTCATTATCAATATAATAGAAATTTGTACTGTTAGTGCTTCCCGGGGGACAAAGCACCCTCCCTCATGTCTTTCCCGATTACCTTGACCTTCCTGTCACCCTGAATTCTCATCATTGCCACCATGTGGCACAGAAACAGACTTACCCAAAGGGGCTCCAGTTCTGCTCCTTGGGAAGCAGTGGGTGTCCCGTCCCTTGCGCCCTCCACCCTACTTGCATGCACACTGCTGGGGGTGGGGGACTTCAAGTCTGCATCCTGTCACTGCAAGGACAGTTGACAGATCCTAGTGGGCTGAGGAAGGGTTCAAGGCCTGTCAGGGCACCCTGCTGTCCCGGGCTGCTCCTCCAGCTACTGGGCTTCCCAAGGTGGTCTTGCTCACAATGTGCCCGAGCTGATGTTTCACCAGGGAAGGTCGACACAGGTAACCCCTGAGCCTTGGAAAGCCGCTCCGGGACCCCAGAGAAGCGGAGCTTGTCTCTACCTTTTAGCTGGCGCATTTGATCCTCTAGTGAACCCCCGTATTTATCAACAAGTATAAGTTTGCAAAATGAGTAATCAGCATCTTAGGAGATTAAAAATAGCTGACGAAGGCAAGGCAGGATGACGGGTCTAGCTCAGTTTACTCCTACGCAGAAAATGTCTCCTTTTTCATGTGTTTATTGTCGGATGACAAATGACTGGAAGCTGGTGCTTCGGGAAGGCCTGGGGCATGCACAGCCCGGCAGCCGGTCACCCTGAGGGCCGCCAGCATCAGGGCTGATCCAGGCCCAACGATAGCATTGAGATCCTTGTGATCGCATGGGATTCCCCATTATCTCCAGATCAATATGACAATTAAATGTGGTTACTGAGCCATCTCTGGGCTCCACTTGGGGGAGTTAAAAGCCCACAATGAACATTCAGAGCCTGTCTCACTCTGAAACCATCTTTGCTATAACATTTGTCAAGTGTCCAATTAACCACTGAGGGAAAGAAAATACAAATTGAGGGCTATGTGTGCCTTCACAGGCAAAAGATGTCACATGGGAGGATGTGATTTCTAGTGGCAGCTGATGATGGGTGGGGGTGGTGGGCTTCGGGGCAGAGGGGACGTGGGAGAAGGGCTCCGGTGATCCTAACTGCCACCTCCTGGGTTGTACTTTCGGGCCGGGCAGCCTAACTTGTCACTCTCTGGGGCATTGGTTTCTCCAAAAGCAGGACTAAACCTTCCTGTTCTTCCGCTGACTCATGGCACTTGCCCAGATCTTCCCCTGGGCTTCTGTCTCTGTAGAACAGTCTCCTTGGCTCAACGGAAAAAGACCGAGTATTTCCACCCAGAAATACGCGTCAGCCCCGGCTCCCCGCGCCTTGGTCTGACCGTACGCAGTGGCCTCAGGAGGAAGCCAGCCTGGGACCTCCAGCAGCAGGCAGGGTAACACACATGGCTCTTGGGCCCTCACTCTTGCTCAGGCTGGTTTTGAACTCCTGACCTTGAGCAATCCGCCCGCCTCGGCCTCCCAAGAGCTAGGATTACAGGCGTGAGCCACAGCGCCCGGCCTTGATTTACTTTTTCTTCTGGAGAATTCTAGAGGGTTGGCCAGACTGTCCCCGCAAATTTCTTAGTTTGTGTGCAGTGACTTTGCTGCATTACCAACAGATTTCCTGGGCTATGTAGATGGAGGGAGGTCACTGGTGTGTGACGCCCTGCTTGGCAGGGACAAGGAGCCACAGCCACTGGCATGGCCCACGTTCTGGCCATTGGTCCCACCGTTGCCCTACGTTCCAGCTGGCCAGGGCAGCCAGACTCATCCTGTGTCTCTCACAATTGGATCTTGGGCCTCCAGCTTGTCTGATACCTAAATGGGATGTTGACCCCCAACCAAAAGGGACAAGTGCCCCATTTCAGTGACTGGGTAAGGCCAAAGCGGGTGTCACCCTGACTGCTTCCATGTCACATCCCACAGTCCTCTCTTGCGGTGGTGTTTGAAGAGCCTGGGACTGTGGCCTTATGAACAATCTAGTCTCTAGTGCATCACCGTGGGGGGTGCGGGGAGGAGCAGGGATGTGATTTAGCCTTGGTGGCAGTAGCCTCATTACCTCTCCACGTGGTCCACGTTGCCTGCCACACCAAGGCCCCCGAGGGTGTAAATCTTTCCATCGTAGACAAGGCTATTGTGCCGACAGCGGGGCACTGTCATTCTGGAGACGAGATTCCAGTTATCGAGCAGGGACATGTAGCACCAGACATCCGCCAGCGTCACCCCTGACTCCATTCCACCTGCGGGCAGGATAGGAGGTGCAGAGAGCAGGCAGGGTGAGGACGGGTCTGAGGCTGGCAGGCCCAGCCCCAGGGTCAGAAGGAAAAAGCTCCACCTGCAACGTGGCCACTGCTGGGCCTTCCTCATCCCTGACATTCCCCGGTGCCCCCCAGCCCTGAGGGGCCTCACCTGAGAGGTAGATGTTGTCCCCGGCACTCACTACACTGAAGAACTCGCGGTCATAGAAAGGCAGCGAGGCCAAGGGGTACCACTTGTTGTTCTGCGGGTTCCAGCAGGTGACGGCCACCAGCGAGCGCTGGGTCATCCCCACCATCTGACGGCCCCCAACCAAAACGATGACCTCGGCCACACCTGCGGGGACATGGATGGGCACCCTTGGGACACACCCCGACATTGTCAGCATCTGTCCCTGGCACCTCTCTGAGGGACCACCCAGAGTTGGGCCGACCCAAGGCACCTGCATGTGGGGAGGTTCGGGGCATGTCCCTCGGTACCTGCTGAGAGGCGGGGCCGGGTCCGGGGCGTCTGCATCTCCTGGCGGGCATGGGGCAGCATGTGGTAGCGTTTAGCCTCGTTGACCAGGTCCCGACAGGCTTCTGATGACTTGATCAGCTCCTCATTGTCAACCACGTTGAGCAGGTAGCTGGGGTGGATAAAGGGGAGGCGGACCACCGCCAGCAGCTCAGCCGCGTACTGCAGGGGAGAGGAGACACGACCTTCTTAGACTGCAGATAGGACGCCTCCTCCTCTGAGTTGTGTCGACAGGAAAGAAGAGGTGTGGGACTGTACAAAACCAGTTAACTCCAGCCCGTGTCGGGCTTGGGAGAGCAGATGCTCTGCCCAGCCAGCCCAGACAGAGGTAGGGGCACTGAGCCGGAGGTGGGGAGGTGGGAGGCTGGCATGCCGCAGCTGGCCCCAGGGGGCTGCCTGTCCACCCCTCATTCCCGCACTGCACCCAGAGAGGGTGGCGAGGCTGAAACGAGGAGGGTGCGACCCTCGAGCTGTGGGTGCAGCAGGGACTCAGGAACAGGTGGGAGGACCCAGGAAAGCTTCAAGGACATGCAAGTCCCACCCATGAGCGCTGCGTCTCCCCAGCAGCAACATCCTTCCGCAGTGTCACACGGCCTCAGATGCCCCCTGGCCCTTGACCCCTGACCCTGTGCTGAAGTTTCACAGGCTGACTTGAATGTCCCCTCCTGTCTGGCCACTCCACTTTTGTTTCATGCAGCGAGTAACTGGTGAGCACCATGGGCCACGCACTAAGCTCATTATCGGGGATGCCAAGACCTATGAGACCCTGTCTCTGACCTTGAGGTGTGCACAGTTGAATGGGGGCGGGATCTGTCACATAGAAGGCCCTGGCGGGCGAGAAGAAGGGTCTAGCTAGGTGTCGTGGTGGGTCGGGAGTGAGTGCCCCACAGAGCATGTGACGCGTGAGCTGGGTGCAAGGACTTTTGGCAGGCATAGGCAGGGAGCGGGGTGGGCATTCGAAGTCTGCGTAGAGGCATTGGAGGGTGAAAGAGAATGGTGTGTTTGGGTTTATTCTTATTGGATGCAAAAGGCTTTTATGGAAGGGATGAGTAGCAGACAGGGAGAATGAGCGTAGAGCCGGTGGAGCAGTTGCCAAGGGCTGCGCAGCTCTCTCTGCAGAGCTGAGGAAGGGCAGGAGGAGGGGTGTAAGTGGAGGAACTGGAGGATCAGGTTTGCTCTTTAGAAAGACCACTCAAGCCAGAGGGTGGAAATGGATTTGGAGGGAGCAAGACGGAAGGCAGGGAAAGCACTTAGGAGGCTGCAGTAATCTGGTGTGGTTAGGGAGGTCTGAACGGGAGAGGGGGCGGTCGATGCATTCAAGGCGGAGCAAGGAGGAGAAACGGGCACTGTGTGGCCACGTGGGTGTGGAGGATGTGGGGAATCGAGGCTTCCACCTGGGGAAACGGGCAGGGCTGAGATAAGGAACACAGAAAGGGCTGCAGCTTTGGGCTCGATGAATTAGGTGGATTTAGGGGACATCCTGCTGGAACTGTCCTGTGGGTGACTGAACTGAGAGGTCTAGAGTTCAGGAGAGAGTTGTGGGCTGGAGTCACAGATTTGGGAGTCATAGTGAATTGCGGCAGTCCCTGTGAGTAGCTGCCCCACCTAACTTCCTGTGAAAATAAATCTCGCCCCCTCCACCCCACCTCTCTCCTGGCTGGGTCGGTGGACAGCCATCTCTGCATCCTCTGTCCACCCTACCTAGTGCCCCCGAGGGACTCACGCTCTTGGCCAGCTTGGGTCCCCTTCCAGGTGGAACGCCAGCCCTTGAGTATCCTTTGGTGGCAGATTTCTCATAGCTAAGTCCTCCTTTCACTTCCCTGCTGCCCGTGGGCGGGGCCACCCTCCCTCTCCCCAAGCCTGCTCCCATATGCCCCCCTGCTGGTCACAGGCGACCCTGCCCCCCGCCCCGTTCATCCTTGCAGCAGACCCCATGCCTACCTGTGCACGTGACGCAGGGTCCTTCTTGATCCACTTGATGACCGTCTCATACACCAGCTCCTCGGCCTTGGTGTTGAGGCTGTCATTGGAGACGTAGGCGATGAAGTCGTCCTTGGAGATGCTGAGGATCTCCTCCTGGGCCGCCACCTCAGGGAAGATCTGCAGCGCGAAGGCCTTGGCCATGTGGTAGAGCTCGCTGCACTGCATGGCCTCGGCCATGGCCAGCACCCCCAGGCAGTTGCTGGCGGTCAGCTGCTTCTCTGGGGGCGAGAGTGCAGGACCACTGACCAAGGGCCCTGGCAGCAGTCGCCACCTGTTCCCATCGCTGCTACCCTGTGTCCCTCTCTGAGCCCACGTCCTGTGTCCCTGCATCCAGCATCTAGAGTCCCCATAAGCCACTTCCTGTGTCCTTGGAGCCTTAGATCCATGTCTCAGGGTTCCTCTGCCCCATCTCATGGGGGCTCTCAGGGCCTCCCTCTGCTCCTGGGGCCCTGGTGGAAGGACCTAGGTCATGAGGCATGGAGCGTGGGCACTGGGCTCGGGCTTCCTCACTGACTGTCGGTGGAGGAGGCCCGGGCAGCAGAGCCCAGCCTGGGCTGGGGCAGGAGTCACACTGAGGCTTGCAGTGTGATCCATAACTGTGGCAGGCGTGTCTGAAGTCAGCAGTGGCACTCCTCACGTGCCACCCACCTTCTCCCGTGGGCTTTGGCCTCACTCAGTCTGACCTTGAATTTGGGGTCCATCTGGCCAGCCCCCCTGAGATCTGGCTAATGGTTCTTCCCGCCTAGATGTGCCTGGGTCTTGGGAGGCCATCAGTTTGTGAGCCTAATCTGCCACTGTGGTTCCTGTCCTTTCTAGAATGTCAGTCCCTCAGCTGTCCTCACTGGTTTGCTCCCATCTCTGGGCTCAGCCCCTGGCCTTCTCTCTCTGCACCTCACACCCCAGGCCTGTTCCCACATGGCCTGCTGGGGCACAGCACACCCCTCCCCTACAGAGAAGTGAGTCCCCCTTAAGTTCATGCCAGTGAGAGAAGGACTCTCCGGGCGGGGCTATTCACATTATCATCTTAAAACAGCTTTGCGAGACCCAGGCCCATCCTGGGGGCCTTCGGTGTGCACACACGGCCCTCCGCTCTGGATCCTTGCTGCTTAGAGTTCTTTGCACATTTGACTCTTCCCGCCGAGGGACACGCATGCCCCCAGGGCTCACCGAGAAAGGACACGCAGACTTTGCAGAAGGTGTGGAACTGGAACTTGCTGGCCGCCTCCAGCAGGGTCTTGGCGTTGGCCGAGTCGATGACCAGGGAGCCTGTGTAGACAAACTCCAGCAGCAACTCCAGGACGTCCGCCTGCAGGTTGGACAGGACGAGCTCCAGCTTCTCCCGGCCGCCCTGGCTGCCGTCTTGCACCGACCTAGGCACAGAGACCAGGGTGTCCTCACCTGCCGCCCCCGCGGCCACTGCGCCGCTTCCTCACAGGGCTAGATTTCCCTGCACATCTTGGTCACGCCCTTCGTTTTAGGACCCAAAGGACACAGCAATGACACACCTGAACCTAATGACCTACACGGGATCTGAAAGAGAAGAGTCTGACCAGAGAAGCCCAAAAGAACAGAAAACCCTGCTTATCACTACTCGGCATGTCCATGCAAAAAAAGATGCAAATCAAAAAGCATGAGCTATGGATGGGGACGAGGACCAGGACTGGCCTCAAAGGGAAACAATACGGTTCAGCCCACAGCTGGCCAGCTCGTCCCGGCCTGGGCCCGCCTGCCCCAGGTGGCAAATTCTCCAATGAGACTGAGGCCTGGGAGGCTCTGATGGGCTGTGGTCCCAGCCAAGCCAGAGACGGCCTCCGGTCACCCAAAGACTGAGGGCCCCAAGCTGCCCCAGAACCCCCCCAACCCCACCTCTTTCCAAAGCATATTGTTTCCTTTTAGGCATGGGAAGGAAGCCCTTCATGACATTGCTTTGAAACTGAGGACGAGACGAGAGAGACGGACAGAATGGTCAGAGCTGGGAGGAGGGAGAGGGAACAACCAAGGACTTCCGCCACAGACAGCCAGCAGCCATGACCTGGGACCTGGCCCGGGGCGGGGCCCTCCTGCCACATGGAACACGGGGTCAGAGGTCAGAGTGGCCTGCGTGTAGAGTGTGCATCGGGCTTGTGAACTGGGGGGAGCGGGGGAGGGACACAAATATATAAATATGTTTATATCTGGTGTCTACAGAAATACAAAACCATTGCAAAGGCTCCTAAGGCCTGGCAGCCGCCCCTAAAGCTGGACCTGGAAGGAAACAGATAAGATGAGGCGAGGATAACACCAATACAGAAGTGACGCCAGGAGAAAAAACACCCGGAACGTTAGGAGTCGGAGGCAGGTTTCCCGGAGGCTGTCGGTTTGGCCACCCGTCGTGGCTGCTCAGACCGGTTCTGCTTCCTGCACTGGGCCTGGTCCCACCTGGGGCCGGGCTCGGCCACATGGCTGGGAAACGACTCCTGCGGTCCACTCATTCGCTTGCGAGGAGGCCAGGGGGCAAGACTCTTGTGACTGGTCCCTTGGGTGCACCTGTGGCTGGCAGTGGGGCCGTAGAGGGGTCCAGCGAGCAAGCTGGCTGGCCACAGAGAGGGAGGCTGGCTGCCATGTGGGTGGCTGGGTGGGAAGAGTGCTGGGCTGGGAGCTAGGGGCGCTAGGAGCCCTAGCTCTGCCACCGACAGGCTGGCGGCCTTGGCCTCCCAGGCCCTCAGCCTCCTCTTCTGCAAAACAAGAGGGTTGAACTAGATGAGGTCTAAAGTCCCATGGAGATTTTATGTGACAGAAGCTGAAAGATGCCCTTCCCCAGAGACTCTTCTGTACATGACAGGACCTGAACTTCCCCCATGACAGCAATATTCTCAGGTTAGGCATCAGCCCCCAAGGCCTAGAAAATACAGATGTAACCAGGCAGGGAACAGGTTGCGCTGTGATCCTGCTACTGTGCCAGCATCCTGGGCCTCCTCCTAGCGGCCCCGCACTGGGCCCTGCCCATGGAATGGCTCATGTGACAGGGGCTGTCAGGTGCCTTCTGCCCCCAAGCCCTGGGCAGCCCAGAAGACTGAGGGGCAAGGTGCCGGCTCCACAGAGGGTCTGAGCAGAGGCCCCTCCAAACCCACGCACACACATGGTGGCTCCTAAAGTGCTTAACACACCTAGTCTTCTGCTGTCAGGACGGATTTCCACGCTTGGGTGGCTTTCAGCATAAAAATAGTTCATTATGTGATCACAGGAATCCTAAACGCCCCAGGCCTCAGGGGCCATCTGGTCAACCTCAACTCCACGTCTTTGCCGCCTCAGCCTCCATTCCTGCAGGCCACCGCCTGCTTCTCCTCACGCTCTTCCCGCTCTGTGGGGTCACACTGGGCCACAGCCAGTGCAGGGTTGGTGGGCCAACGTAGGGCTGGTCACCTTCTCCCAAGGCCCCAGTCACTGCTGCCTGCGCCTGTGGCTAGTCCACCTGCACACCCAGGAGTCCTGGACCAAGGAGCGAGACCCAGTGGAGGGCTGAGGTGGGAGGAACTTCAGGACTCAGGCACACACATGCATGCACACTCGTGCAAACACACGTGCACACACACACACACACACACTGAAACCCCTGTGACCCTGAGGACCGTGGAGTCACCTAGTGGGGAGGGGTGCTGGGCAGATGGACAGCCTGGCCCAGTGGTCAGTGTGGGGGTGATGCCATCTCACTCAGGGTCTGAGCCAGGGAGAGGGTCGTGGGACAAGGTGGAGCCTGCACGAGGAGGCGCACAGGTGCCGCAGAGCCTCGCAGGTGCTGTCCGGGTTGGGGAGGGTCCCTGGCCACACGATGCACGGCTGTGGTCTGCTCCTCCTGGTCCCCACTGTGGGGTGGAGGGGCTGTGGGGCAAGCGATCTGCAGGGAATGTCTGGAGGCTCCTGAGTGACCCTTCCACTTGGCCACAGAGGGACACTTGGGAATATGACGGAGGATCCGTTGGCATCTGAGTTCAAGATCTAGAGGCCAGGTCCCAGGTGGCGAGGCTGTAAGCATGTCACTAGCACATGTGGCCTAGAGACCTCTCCATCCTTGACCATCGGACTGCCTTGGGACTGGACCTTGGTGCTCCTTAGGCTCTTTCTTCCAAGCAGAAGTCCCCTAGGGGACCCCCACCTCACCTGATGGGGGGCCCTGGTCTCTGATGGGGAGCTGCGTCCTCTGCAGATGCTGTTCTGTCCCTGCCCTGAGCTGGCTCTTGTCCCACTCCACTCGGCCCTGTGGAATGACCTGGGAGATGCACAGCGGGGCAGGAACAGGCAGCAGTAACCTTGTCTATGAACCTGCCACTTGGGGCACTGCCCATCCACACAGGGCCCAAGGGTGCTGCCAGAAGACCGGAACTTCCGGGAGTCACCTTCTTCCAAGAGGGGATGGCCCAGGAGAGCCCAGGGATCGGGACACAACCCTGGATCTGTGGCTGTGTCAGAAGGGCTGGTCCCAACTCTCAGGATGTTTGAAACCCCACAATTAGCAACAGGCTCATCCTGGATAAGAACTGTCCCCTCCAGACTTGAGGATGGTGTCCCTCACTTACCCCCAAGCACCTCAGTGGTTGGATGTTTTCATTTCACCAGTTGGAGTGGGCACTATCTGGACTAATGGGGCGGTTGTTGGGGCAGGCGGGGGCGGGAGGTGCAGGAGGCCGGTGCCCTGCTCTGCCCTGGAGAGCCGGCCCTCCCTCCCGACCTGACTCCCGCCCAGCCCTGCCCAGGGAAGCCCGGATATGGCATCAGCCGTAGGGCACTGACATGGGCACGCCTGAGTCTCACTGGGCCCTGCCCACACTTCATGACTTAGCGATGGGTTTGGCTCATGTCATTCTGCCAGCACACAAGATACATGACAGTGTCCTCTTGTTATCTGGCTTCCAAGCCACATATGCCTGTTCTTCCAGAGAAAGGCGCGGGTGCTGCCCCCGTAAGTGCCCAGCTGCCTGGGGGAGGAAGGAAGGGAGTGCGGCTCGGCGGGTGCATTAGTGCAAGGAGCCCCCGCCGTCCAGGCTGCGCCTGGGGCAGGCAGGCCCTTCGGCCGAGTCCCCCCAGCCTTCCCTGTCCTGGTGGGAGAGGGAGTGAGAAGCCCAGAGCCTGGACATGGGGCTTTGTGAAAATCAGCTTGGAAAAATCAGCCAATTTGTTGGCTGATTCATCCATTTTCATTCAATTGAAGAGAGAATCGAATTCAAATGTGGCGTAGGCTCCCATAGACTTTGTGAGATGGTTTCCAGCGGAGGGCGCAATGCCAGGTCCAGGCTTGTCCCATCTGTGTGACGAGGGGTCGCTCTCCTCCGTGGCTGGGCATTTTCTCCCACACCCGGCCCTGGGAGCGTGTTTGGAAGTAATGGTGGGGTGGGGTTGGCACCTCTGCTGTCTCTAAAGAACATCCCCCTGTCCTCCCTGGTACAGCCTGCAGCCCACCTAGCCAGTGATGTCCCCGGTGGCTCCAGCCATCCCTGAGAGTGCCTTGGCCTCTAGGGGACAGGTGAAGGTGCTTCCCTTCCACAGGCCAGAAGGGAAAATCCAGGGCAGCTCCACGTCCAGCTCACTGGGGCCTAGAAGCCACCCCTGACCCCTGCTGGGCCCCCCCAGCCTGGATGCGGGTGAGGGCTGGTCTACACAGCGCTCCCCCTCCCATTGCACAGAGACCAAGCTCAGCTCCTTTCCTGCAGGGTTTCCACCCCTGACCACCTCAGGGACTCAGACGGGGCAGCAGGGGATGGGTGTAGGACCCAGGTCTCCTAGCCCCCAAGGGGGGGTTCCCTCTGTCTTGCAGCAACTGCCCAGAGCCCCACCCTTTCTGGTTAGGGCCACTGAGGTACACCTTTAGGTGGGCATCCACACCCCTCTGCTCCTGACAACTCCTGCCCGAGACCAAGCCCAGGTCCTGGTGTGAGTCCTGGCCACGTTCTCAGTGCAGACTTTGCTCTGAGCTTCCCCACGGATGCTCTGTGCCTCTGTGCGCTTCTCCAAGCCTCCTGGGCCTCCAGCCCGCACCCTAGAGGGGCCAGCTTCCTCATAGGTGTGGGGATCACGCCTGCCATGCAGGTCCCTGACTCTCGGGGGCATTATGCCCTCCTTGCGGAGTGGAAGACTGTGTGGCCAGTTGACAAGTGTTTGTGACATCTGTGCATGCACACACAAAGGTGCACATGTGCACACATACAGTACACACACATGCACACACATATACACACAGCACACACGTGCACACACAGTACACACATACAGTACACACATATGCACACACATGCACCCACAGTACACACATGTGCGCACACACACAGTATGCACCCCTGTCCACACTGTCAGCCCTGGGATTTCACTTTCCTTCCTCACAGACTTTGCACGAAAGTAAAAACTACACTTTTGTTCTTTTGGGTTACTACATGGATGATAAGAGCAGGAGCTTTGGAGTCAGACCGCAATCCAAAGCCTAGATCTACTGGCTCCTTATACTTCTCAGGGCCTCAGTCTCTTCATCTGTAAAATGGGGACACTAATAGTCTCCTTGTGGGCGGGGTCGTGGCCTGGTCAGAGGAGGAAGACGGGAGGCGGCTTCGGGCAAAGAAGTTGCTGCGGCCTCACCAAAGGTGTGAAGACATGTGAGGAAAGACCGGGTGGCCCAGGTGGAGTCAGCCTGTGACACTACCTGGGCAATGGGACTTTGCCCCGATGTCTGCGCAGCCACACGGAGCCCTAGGGTGCTGAGACCTGGCTGTCCCGCTCTCAGTCTGCCATCTTTAGGAGACGCACATCCGACTGCGACACCCCCGGGCTCCGTGATCCGGCCCCTGCCTCCCTGCAGCCTCGCTCCCTCACGCCCTCCCCACTGCGGCAACACGGAGCCTCAGACCCCTGCGTCCCACGATCTTGCCTGTGCTCCCCCACCTCTGCCCCACCGAGTCCTAGTCTTCGTTCTCAACCCACACCAGATGCCACCGCTTCCCCGTGGCTGCCCTGACAGCTCCTCCCTGTGGTTTGTAGCGTGGCGCCTCTGCTCGCCCCGCTCTGTGCTCCTGTTGACAGCTTCTAGTCTCCGCCAGACTAGTGTTTTGTGTGAGACCAAGGCCGGGCCCCAGGAGGGGCGAGGGGCTCCCCCCTGTTTGCCCAGTGAAGGGTGGGCGGACAACTGGCTTCCCGGAGGCCGTCCTGGGGCTCTGGGCAGGGCGCCCACACGGCGGGGCTGGAGCAGTGGGCACATCAGCCCCCCTAGGCTGGAAGTGGCAAGGAGTCCAGCCTGAGCCTCCACGCCTGGGGGGTCCTGGGACAGCAAGGGTCACCTGTCCCTGATAGTGCTTGCCCAGAGCAGGTCAGTGCTGACCCCCCTCTAGCCCCATGGAGGGCCCCTGCTCCCTCCCCTTGCAAGAGCCGAAGCTGCCTGAGAGGAAAGCCCCTGCTTGGGGGCCTGTGGCTGCACATTAAGCCTCCAGGGTCACAGATGCAAAGGGGACTGAAGTGACATGGTGACAACACCAGCTGCTCTCTGACCACCAAGAATGTGAAATTCTCGATGATTTCGCATGGCCGGAAAGGAGACCCCCTTTCTGCACAGAGTCTGTCTCTCTCGGAGAAGGCGTTGGTTTGCAGTTACCTGCACAAACAGTTCTGTGTGCCACGCTCAGGACCAGGGCAGTGAAACTTCAAACGGCTGCAAACCCATGTTGGGACTTCAGGAGCAGGGCCCTGGGCTCGCTTCAGTTTCCACTTCTTTCTCTGTGTGCCCCTCCTGCATGCCGAGGGCCCCCAGCCCTGTCTCCCCAGACCTCAGACCTCTCTGGGCTGGGTCTGTCGGTTGGCTGTCTACACACGTCCTGACGTGGGGCTGTGGGTGATCTTCCGGCTGCTAAGGCTCCACATGTCAAATGCTTCACTGGTCATGTTCCCCAGCTCCCCCGACACTGGTCTGTGGGCCTGCCCTCCTCCCTGCGACCTCTGCTGCCTGTGACACCTCCTCCTGTACATCCTGGTCCTTACACTTGGGAAGCGTCTATAGACTGGCCCTGCCCATTCCCTGACGGTCACCCTGGGGTGTCAGGGCTAGAAGGAGACCTGGACACCATTCGAACCAACCTCCTGGTTTACAGATGAGAAACCTGAAACCCGAGGCCCCCAAGGGAGGACACGACTAGCCTGAGGTTGAAGGACAAGTGGCAGAGTTGGGTGTAGGACTCAGGTCTCCTAGCCCCCAAGGGGGGTTCCCTCTCTCTTCCAGCAACTGCCCAGAGCCCCACCCTTTCTGGTTAGGGCCACTGAGGTACACCTTTAGGTGGGCATCCACACCCCTCTGCTCCTGACAACTCCTGCCCGAGACCAAGCCCAGGTCCTGGTGTGAGGCCAGGGCCTGCCCACTAACACACCCTCTCTGGGACAGCCATCTGCATACCCGCTCTTCACGCCCCACCCCTGCCTCGTCTTGGCCTGTCCACGAAGCCTTCTCTACCTTGGGTTCCTACCTAGCGGGTCCTGTGCTATGTGCAAGAGCTTGGCTGTGACGTGAGGTCTCCGAAGGCAGTCCAGGGGCTCGTTCTAGGCAGGGCCTGGACCACTGCTCAGTACCGACCTGCCCCTTCTGTGCCCTCCAGCTGGTCTGGAGCTGGGCCAGAGGCCCCAGGACGCTCATCCATGATCCACCAGCCAGAGGCTGGCCACTGCTGTTCCAGATTTGCCAAGAGTGGCAGCACGAAGATCTCCCTGGCCTAGTGAAGCCACTGGACATGCCCTTCACCCCAGACCGTGTGCCCCTGACCACTGGGCTCGGCCAAGAGAACCCAAGCATGGGGGCAGGAGACCCGAGTTGTCCGTGAGACGGGAAGTCACAAAGAGCCTGCCCCTTCCCGCGTGGCTCTCTGTGAGAGGACACATGGATTGGAAAGGAGGTGCCAGCCAGTGTGCCATCCTGAAACAAAACACAGTCACCCCGGGGTTAGTTGGCAAGTCCAAACACAGCATTGGGAAGCAAGCAGAGGTCCTGTCCTCCCACTCTGAGCACAGTCCGGCTCAGCGTCCGCCCCGGAGAGGCTGCAAGGCAAAGTGAGCAGCGGCGTTAATCTGCTGGGGGTGAGAGAAACGTGAGCGTTACCCTGCGCTGGCCCCTCGGCAGCTCTCCCTCACTAAGGAGCTGGAAGGTGGCCCCTGACTTCTTTGCAAGGGTATGAAGCAGACAAATTAAAAAATCAACATAATGGAAAAAAAAAAGATGCTCATGCACCATTAAGACTCATTCAGGCAGAAGTAGCCGGGGCGGAGGGCAGAAGGGAGGGAGCAAAGGCTGAGAGAGACCGTGTTTAGGACACACCTGGTCTGTGCTCAGCGCCAGGCTCAGCTCAGTGTACGAGTCTCAGGACATGCATGTGGCTGAGGCTTTGGCTACAGGTCTCTTCTCCCCGGCTGGGGCTGGGGCAAAGTGAAAAGCGGCCCCTTGGGCGCCTCGTGCTCCTCAGCAGGGTATGGTCTGGTTGATGTGCTTGCCTGGCACCAAGTTCAACATGGACAGCAGTGACAAGGGCAGTGGGGACCCTGCTCTGGCCCAGTGGGGGCAGTGTGCAGCGTGGTCCCTTAACATGGAGTCTACAGCGCTCCTGATCTCAGTTAGGGCTTGCGGTCCACTGGGAATGTGGGATCCTGGGGCAGGGCAGGGGTGTTGTCTACTGCGGGCAGAGGCCCCTGGTGACCAGCACAGCTGTGTGGGGGCTGGGGGCAGTGGCTGCTCTGAGGCTGTGTGTGAGAGGACACTGGGAGGAGGAGGAGGAGGAGGAGAGATGGCTACTGGCTCTGTGACAGGGAGTCACGCTTCAGGAACCTGCAAGAGAGGGGAGGAGAAAAGCGACACAAAAGCGTCCTACAAAGGAACAGACCCGACCACAGCTGGAAGGAAGGCAAACCTTTGAATCAGGTCCTTGAAATACAAGCTGCAGGAAGCTAGAACATTTTGGTGGACTTCAAACTCTCTGCCTTCAACAACAATTTTCAGGTCTGTAAACGCTTTCGCTCTGCGCTGCTGGTTCAATTCCTTCAACATTTCTGCAGAACAGAGAAGACAGACAGGGCCAGGTTCCCATTAAGATTTTTTTTTAATTAAAAAAAGTTTTTTTTTTTTCAAGAAGTAGAGAAATAGGAAATACTTGATACTGTTTCTTGGCAAGACTGGCTCAACACTGACAGTCAAAAGAAGTCACAAACATAATGCGTAAACAAGCAGCCACTGCAAGGGCTACACAACCAAAGGAATAACAACTTTAAAAAGCAAGAAAAAAAAAAAAGAAACCAAATATGATAAAAAAAAATCAAACCCAGAAATCGAGAGGTCGAGGGGAAAGATTCCCATACTGACAATTGCAAACAGAGAATACATTATCACAGATGACTTAAAACTGTTATGTAACTACGGAACAAGTTCTCCAAATGCCAGTGGGTGCCGATGTATCGGATACCAAGTAAAGCGTGGCACTGGGATGCGGATGGGCTGGATATGGTTCAAAGGAATAAAACCACAAAACCTGCAAAAACAGCGTCCCTTATGTTAGACACTCACAGCCATGGGGTGGGAGGAGACCCGGGGAGGGAGGGGCCGAGCGGGGCCTGGCAGGAGCCTCCTGTTTCACTCCTGGGGAAGCAAGCGACTCTCTGCACCTCCTCCTGCGTCCCGGGTGGCCTCTCAGAAATCCCCAGGAATCCCACTCTTGCCTGGGGCTTCAGCACTGGGGAGGCTGGTCTGCAGCCCAGCAGGTCCCCGGAAGTGGCCTCGGGGGCCTTCCCACCCTGGTGTGCACCTACCTTTGCCTGGCGTCTCGGCCACCTGGGGCTGGCACAGCAGTGCCCAGGCCCGTGGGCTCCAGACCTGGGGATGTCAGAAGCTTCTCCCAGACCCACCCCAAGGTTTAGAAAAGAGAAGGACGGGAGAGCCTGCAGCCACCCTGTTTAGTTGATTTCTACTCTTTCATTGGCAAAAGTTAGGGCCTTCCAATGACCAGTGCTCCCCTGGGCCTTGCCTCTCCACCTGCCCCAGGAGCCCCGGACAAAGCCCGCCCTCTGTGTTGGCCGAGGCCCAGGTCCTTGGGCCACAATGACCTAGACTGTCATGGGGCAGGGCTCTTCCTTGGCAGGTGCAGGTCAGAGGGCAGCCTGCAGAGCTGAGCCCTACCCTCCAGCCTCCCTGCCACCACCCAAGGCCCTCTAGGTCTAGGCAGATGTTCTAGAATTACCCCCCGGTGTGCCCTGCTCCAGCCTGGCCACATGGGTCAGCATCACTGCCTGCCAAGACTCCTTCCTGGGCCCCACCCTGTCTCTGACCCTTGTCTGTCCTTGGACGAGCCCCTGTGCCTCACTGAGCCTCTGCTGCTACAACTGCAAAGAGGGACACAGGTTTCCGCTTCTACTCCCAGGGTGTGGGGCAGACAAGCTCAGGGACGAGAAAGGGCTCCGTGGGTCCTTCTTTGCAGGGACACACTGGGCTCTGCTGAAGCGCGGTTGGGGGGTTCTGGGGAACATGCCATGTGCAGGGACCGAGGTGGGTGGCCCTGCCCTCTGGGAGCCACTGGCCCCACTAACCCCACAGCAGGCTTAGCCTGGGGACACAGCAGAGTGTCTACAGGGGTGTGGGTGTGGCGGGGGTGCAGGGAGGGACCCAGCCCTGTGGGGAACCAGGGTCAGGTCTCCAGACAGTGACCCACAGGGCACAGAGCAGCAGAGTGGAGGGCGCAGAGCGGGGCAGGGCGGATGCCAGTGGACACACAGCTGGAGGGCAATGGGAAGGTGACTGGGGTAGCGGGCGGGGCCAGGTCGCCTTGTGGCACCAGGGAGCCACAGGGGATTCTGTGCAGGGAATGGCGAGGTTAGACGTGGGTTTCAGACAAATCCACACAGAGGCAGGACGGGGAGTGACCCGGGAGGCCGAAGGGAGACAGGAAATCACTGTGAGGAGGGTCTGCCTCGGGGCCAGGCCCAAGGGTGAACCCGAACTCTGCCTCCTGTCAGCTGTGCGGCCTGGGGAAAGGGAACCCATGCCCCCAGAGCCTCAGTTTCCTCATTTGTGGGGTTTAATGAGAAGCGCTCAGCTGGCGGGAGATTGGAGTTGCTGTAAACGGTGAGAGATCCGAGAGAGGATGGAGCCAGGCCTGACCACGACGGCAACACGGAGAACGAGGCGCATTGAGGGCGCGGACACCATGGCTCAGTGCGGGCATGAGCGGGGGAGGCATAAGGACCTCTCCCAGGGACATCCAGGAAGGGAGGACGGAGAGTGCAGTTGTGGGGGGCCTGTGGGACCCTGGAGAGAGGGGCAGGAGGTGATGGACAGAGGGCTGAGCTGGGGACAGCTGTGGGCGAGCCGCAGGGCCAGGCTGGTTAAGGGGAGACTGTCATGCACACACATCGACCCCAAAACAGCCACCGACTGAATTCATTCCCAAACCACGAGCCAGGTAGGTGATGTCGCCTTCTTCAGCAAAGAGGTGGGGGAGGGGAAGGGATTCTGAAGACCTGACTCGGGGTCTCAATCCAGCTTTGCCACTAATTGGCAGTGTGACCCTGAGCAAGCTGACCCAGCTTTCTGGGCCTCAATTTCTTGAGCACAAAGGGGCAGGGACACCTGCTCTGGAGCCACCTAGTTGTCACAGTGCAGGGGTGCTCAGGGCCAGGAAAAGCCAACGGTACACATGGTGCCAACTCCTGGGCCCAGAGTGTCCTGATGGTTGTTGAAGGTTTTCCCTTCAAACTAAGGGCCCAGCAGCCCTCGGGCAGACCTGGATGGTGCTTGGAGATTCAGTGTCACCGTCCTAAATGGAGGTGCTCTCTCTGACTCACTTTGTGGAAATCTGGATTTAATAGTTGGAAGATTATTCACTTTCAGAAGAATTTTTCAATATGAAAATGCTCACCAGGGGCTTCCTTTTCACAGCAGGGCCCAGCGCTCAAAGTATGGACCAGTTGTCCTGTGCTTACTGCGGCCAGGCTGGCCGGGTGGCACAAGCATTTCAGGCTTGTGGGAGGGAGCCCAGAGTCTGTGGGACGACACCAGGCCCTGGGGCACCAGCTGCTCTCCTCCCCACGCCACGTCTTGGCAAGGGACAGCCCCTTAAACTCTGAGGAGCTTCCAGTCGAGGTGCGTGGGGTACCGAGGGTTCCCGGGGAAGCCTTCCAACAAGCAGGGCCTGTTCCCAGCTGCGGGAGGCCTGCAGGCCTCGGGCAGGGCCTGCCTGGGGCTGGGTCTTCAGAGCAGGCTCCCAGAAGCACCCTGGCACCTGGCAGTATTTGGTGGCTGCACATTTCTGGAGGATGGGATGGCACAGAGACACCCTGGCCTTCCCCAGGCAGAGGCTCGGTGGGGCCCAGTGAGTGACAGGACTGGCCCTGCACCCACCTGGGGGAGCACAGACTTAGCTCAACATCACCCCTGCTGGCCAGCACCAGGGGTTGTTTTCTGGTCCCCTCCCACCTGTGCCAGGGAGACTCCATGCCCTTGCCTTGCATACACAAATGGCTTCCCTGTACCCTGATCCCTAATGGGTAGTGCTCCACCTCCCCCCGCCGCCCTGGCTGGGACCACTTGGCAGAAAGCATATGCTGGGATGTTCTACTCGGTGCTGAGCTCCTCTTCCCACGGAGGCAGTTCCTGCCTGCCAGTTCCCTGGGCTCCTTCTAGACTTTCTTCCCTCCCACAGTAAGTCTGTTTTACACTAGAAGTCTCTGCGCCCATCACCCCAGAGTCCCTGCAGCAGCCTCCCAGATGCCTCCCTGTCTCCAGCCTGACCCCTCCAGGCCACCTCCACACTCCCGGCAGCCACCAGCCATCAGCTCCTGCTTGCACAAACCCTCAGGGCTCGGCAGGCCAGCAGGACACCCTGCGAATCCTCTCCATCCCCCAGCTCCTCCTTAATCCCCAGTGAATCCTCCCTGCACTGTGGGAGGAGGAGGAGGAGGAGGGGGAGGAGCAGCCCCCTCCAAGCCTCCGTCCCCTGCATCTGTCTGCATCTGTCTTCTTCCCTTCTTCATCCAGCCGGTCTCCACTTGTCATTCCATGCCAGCTAAGGTGCTATTTTGCCCCAGGCCTCTCTGTCTCTTTCCCCTTCTCTTCTCCATCCTTCGCCCTCTGCTTCCCTCTGCACCTCCCACAGCACCTGTGCTCACTGCTTTATACCATGCTAGGGCTGGTAGTTATTATTTACATGTCTGCCTCCTGCACGAGACTGTGTTTCATTTATATTTTTATCTTCAACACTCAGCACAGGTCCTGGCATATAGATAGCGGGTGTAGATTGCAAAAATTCTTTGTAGCTTCCCCATCGAGGGGTGGAGGTCATTTCCCCACCCGTTTGAATCTTGGCCGCCTTGTGATTTACTTTGGACCACAGAATGGGGTGGAAATGACCTTGTGTGGGTGTGAGGCATGGCCTTAAGAAGCTATGCTCGCTTTTGCTCATTCCCTTGGGACCCCTCCCACCACCACACTGTGAACCACCTGGGCTGGCCTGCTGGAGGATGAGAGACCATGTGGAGCAGAAACGAGCTGTCCCAGGTGAGCCATGTAGACCGGCCGGTGCCTGCCAGTATCAGCCAAACCGCCCAACCAGGATCATCGTCTAAATCAGTGGTGGCTGTTTTAAGCTGCTACATTTTAGAACTGTTTGTTATGCAGCTAGAGCCAACTGGTACAGACGGCATAAATAACTGATGGGTTCCAGTGCTCTGAGAACTTTCCCTGTGTCCATTTCTCCTTTGCTAGTTAAGTTTAAAGCTAATTCTTCTTGTTCTCTCTCTTTTTTTTTTTCAGTTGTGGTAAAATGTTCCATCTCACCATTTGTAAGCGTGCAGCTGAGTAGTGTTAAGTGCATTCACACCGTTGCACAGTCTCTGGAACGCTTTTCACCTTTCCAAACTGAAACGCGCTCTGCACCCATTACACAACCACTCCCCGTTTCTCCCTCCTTCCAGCCCCCAGACACACCAATCTGTGTTCTTTCTCTGTGAGTTTGACACTCTGGATACCTCAAATAAGCGGGACCACACAGTATTCGTCCTTTTGT